CCATTCAAGAGGGAGTGGGAGGCTTCCAGTCAAAACTCCTAGATCAAATTTCTCCAAGTCTGAACCACCAACACAGTCAGCATTGAAAGTTTTGTTAGAGCCAGCACAGGCTCACAGCCTATCATGGCTACAGTGAAATAGGAGACTGAGTGATGGTGAAGTCAGTTTAACAAAGTTCTGTCCTGTATCCCAGGTTGCCACCCATCAGTTGTGAACACGTCCATCAAGCCACAACACAAACTGACATGAATCAGATAGAAAAACATTTCCTTTTTAAAAGCTACTTAATTTTCATCATGGATGTTACTAGTAATGCAATCTGCAAGAGTACCATATAGGAAACTAAAGAGGATGGAGACAAGGGTGAAATACCATGTGAAAACCAATGGCCACAGGCAAGTTTCTTAGCCTGGCTTGGTTTAACTGTTAAAGACAACATTATCTTCCTGCATCTCCAGGACAGCTCACCTTTCAGTAAGAAATAACACCAATACCTGAATTTTAATGCCACTGCAATCACCTGTGACCTCTTCTATTGCTGCAGCAAATAAATCCGGTAAGAACCTGTAGCACCATGAGAAAGGACAATCCCCATTCTCTCTTGGGAGTCCAATCAGGCAATGAATCAGAAGACAAACCACTTTTGTTGGACTGATTTTCAGCTACATTGTTTCCTCACATTAGCCCACCCTGCAACTCACAAATCCACCCCTGAGCACACGGGAGAGTGCAGAATATACTGCAAAGCAAGAGGAAAAGGCGAGTATACCGTTCTTGCCAACTGTGTCTGTGCTGGATTGAGTGACCATGCAACCATCGCCTAGAATATCCCAGTATGAAGATCTCTTCTTTCACGGTAATACAAATGCACAATGAACTTATTACACACCACAGCTCAGTCACCAGACAAAAAAAAAATCACTGCACCAAGGAGTAACAAGAGAAAACCTAAGTGAGCGAATCCCACTCACTCACTCACTCACTCAAAAAAAAAAAAAAAAAGTCCTCACACTTTGATTTATTACGAAGGTGTCTGCATCCAAGATGCCATCCACTACAGATGCCAAAACAGAGTTTCACATGCCCAAATCAGACTTTGCCAAGAAAAAGCGAGAAGACTGGAACACTCTGTGCACAGCCCCGACTACAAAGCAGTGCCTCCCAAAGAACACCTCTCAAAGATATAAATCAGTACCAGTCCTCTTTGTATGCCCTCCGTGACAGCAGGAAGAATTCAGACGAGGTACTCAATCAACATGCTATCTAAAAAGTTATATTCCCATCAATTAAACTATATTTATGCACTAACACAACCCAATGTGTTAAATGGAGGAAAACGACTACTTACATCCTCTGCCTTAGCCAAAAGACAACATCATCTTTGAATCTTCTCTAAAATGGCTCTAGCCAGTAAGACAAATAAAAATACAATGGAAACTAGTAGGAAATCATCACTTAAAATGGAAATCGGTAATCTTTTTTTTCCTACTTGGCTCTCTAAGGAATAGGGGGGAAATTGCCGTTCTCCCTGCGCACACGGAGAGCCCGGGGCCGGTGTAATTTTGCAAGGACCTCGCCGCGCCAAGTTTGGGGCTCTGACAGCCCCTCGGGCGAGGGGGCAGGAGCCGCACCGATCCCCCTCGGTGCACGGCAGTATTTACCCGGCTGCTGCCGCCGTCTCCGTGCTCGCTGCCCCGGCGGCCCCGGGGCCCGCCGAGCCCCGCTCCTCCCGGCGGCGATGGCAACCTCCGGCTGCGGTGCGGTGACGGGGACCGGCGGCAGGACCCGCGGTGGCCCGACGGGGAGCGGTGGCGGCGAAGCGGCGGCGGACGGGGCGAAGCGGAGCGCGGCGGCGAGGCGGAGGCGCAAGCGGCGGCGGGCATCGGCGGGGGAGGCCGGCCGTGGCCTGGCCCCGGCCCCGATGTGCTGAAG